TGGAGCAAAGGACTCGGTTTTAAAAAAACATGGCGATCCTACAACCCCTTTTGAGGTTATTCCCAACGTCAAATTTAAATTTCAATGTCTAATACAATATCTGCCTAATATATAGTATGCTACACACAGACACCCAAACGGCGAACGTTGGATACAGGAGGCCAATATTAAGTCCCCTTGCCCCACCGAATCTGCTTGGAGATTAGCAACATCTGCTTGGTGATCAGATAGGCGTGCCAGCTAAGCGGCGTCTGCTTGCAGGACGTTGGGTAAGTAAAGGACACACATGGTTTACAACAGCCGTGGGGATTGTCGTGTTGTAATATTACATTTTTTTTATTTTATTCACATGGATTTTTGAGCATTGGATAGGAAGCACTTGTTGTGCTTATGTAAATCCGCTGCTCATAAAACATAATACAAATGTAAACATAAAGATGACATAAAGTATAGCATTAACATAAAATGAAAGTGGCTGGCGCACCAATACCTAGCATAACATTATTGAGATTGGTCAAATCTTCCAGAGTGGTGGATATAGTTAAACACAATATCAAAGATGCGGCAGTTGGTAGGGTATGGGAGGGAGGGGCTACCTGTAATATTACATTACCAGGTGAAAACTACTACGGTGTAAAAAAAATTCATACCTGGTATATATATACCTAGAATATGAAAAGGTTTCAAACATGAAATTTATCGATTCATTCATATAGCTTCTTGCATGAAATACGCATTTCAAGAACCCTGTATGCACACTTACAGTCAGTCACACAGGCAGGTGAAAAGATGTTAAGACGAGGTCTTGTACGACTGCCCACTGACAATAGCGATGTCATGGTTACACCGGCTATACTGGTACAGATCAAGGAAAATAACTTGTGACACATGAACACAACACGTCCCTTGTCGAGCGTAGTCGTAAACACACCCATATGCTTTTCATGAATAATTTAGTGGCCAGCCGTAATGTCACTGTGATGTCTAGATTGCTAGGTCCCGTTTCTGGCGCTATTTCTAGCTTATTTTATACTGTTTTCTGATTGCATGTCAGTATTTGGATTGATACTGAAAAAGAGCATCATCTCGTGCATTATACTAGCAGGCGACATGCTATGCTACATACAAAGGGAGAAAGGGGATCAGCAAGTTATAACTGCTTAGAATGGTCGACGACAAACACTAACTTAGGGCCATAATACTCGGGGGTTACTTACCTCCTTCATGAAGTAATATAACTCGTCTCGTCTGGTTTTCGACGATAAGTATGGTAACGTGCGGTCTGCGGATTCACCACCCGTGCGTGCGAGTACGGGCGACGCGCGTGCCCCGTACGCACCGTACGTAAGACGCACGTGTGAGTACGGCCTCCTTACGGTAAAGTTGCAATCGCACAGAGATCGTACGTTGTAAGCACGTACAACTCACTTACCACTTGCGCAACGTACGATGCACGCAACCGCTCACGGCCAGACGTGGCGTGCAGACCACACTCTTACACCTTGCGCAACCGTGCGAGTGACGTGTGGCGCACGTGCTGCGGGTTGTGACCATTAGGCTTGAAGAAATACGGCCGAAGCGCGTCGACAATGTGACGCCTGCACGTTCGCCTACCCCTTGTGAGTAGGCCAATGTGTCTTCATAGAATTACCACACGGGAGAGACGCCCTGTCCGGCCTCTACCCTACCCTCAGACCCTACCCTACCCTATATCCTACCCTACCCTACCCTATATCCTACCCTACCCTACCCTACCCTATATCCTACCCTACCCTACCCTACCCTACCCTCAGAAACTACCCTACCCTATATCTCACCCTACCCTTCCCTACCCTACCCTACCGTACACTACCCTATCCTACCCTACCCTACCCTTCCCTACCCTACCCTACCCTACCCTACCCTACCGTACTACCCTACCGTACCCTACCCTACCCTATCCTACCCTACGCTACCCTACCCTACCATACCCTACCGTACCCTATCCTACCCTACCCTACCCTACCCTACCCTACCCTACCCTATCCTACCCTACCCTACCCTACCCTTCCCTTCCTACCCTACCCTACGCTACCCTACCCTACCCTACCCTATCCTATCCTACCCTACCCTACCCTACCCTACCCTACCCTTCCCTTGATTTGATTTGATTTATTAGGCTGATGACACATATATGTATGCAGCCAGGACTGCCCAACTAGCCGGAGGCTATTATAAAGGGCTAGCCCTCACAACAAGAGCATAAACAATTCGGAACAGGTTACAGTCAACAGTGTCAGTTACAATTCAGATAAACATACTACTACATAAGAGATGTTGCGGCCAAACGTAACAAGCTAGGATATCCGGCCTAGTTGTCGTGCGTTTACTACAATTACATTTATATGTCAGGTTAATTAATATACTATTACATAACAGATGTGAATGTGCACTATAATTACATTATCAATACAATTCTATTGAACTCGTACAGTTTTACTAAGTAGTTGTCGTCAAGTATACAATTCACGGTCCATAGTTTGTTTTTAAAGGAGCTGATGCAGCGGGCTGTTCGGGTTTTGCTAGGGAGAGTATTCCAGATGGTTATAGCTCTGATCACAAATACCCTTCCCTTCCCTACCCTTCCCTGTCCTAACCCTAGTCCCTACCCGGTACCCTGCCCTGCCCTACCCTACTCTACTCTACTCTACTTTACTCAAAATCCCCCGGCCACATTTGGGCTGGGAGGGACATTCTACCATTCCTCGGAATTTCATGCTGATTCGCACTGGAAAAAGACACTCCAGACCTGCTACACAACATTGCTAAAATCCTTGTTTACATTCCCGGGGGAACATTCCTGCACAATTCCTATTAAATCCTAGAATTCTTGCAGACCATTGGGCTCGCACCAAGGGCGTCGCCAAAAATGTAACAGTACAGTGTCTGAGTGACGTGCGGCCGCTTGACCTTTACCCATCTCGTTCCCAGGTAGTTGTGGTGAGTTTGGTGGATGCAAGCCCTGGGTACGAGATTGGGTTCAGCTGTTAGTGGGAGGGTGCACAGCTGTAAATAATTTGTCCCGTTTGTGCACCAGTTTCTGTACCAAATTTCACCTTTTCGTGCCAAACTGTGAACAATCTGCAATGGACGGGGACTGTGACACTATAGCGGACCTCTGTATGCAGCGGTTTGGGAAGAAAAAGCCTCACCGGGCTTGCTTAGTCCTGGCTCGGGGAGGAAGCAAGGGGATCCCGCTGAAGAACATCAAGCCTCTCGCGGGCACGCCGCTGGTGGGATGGGTCCTCCGGGCCGCTATAGACTCCGAGGTGTTCGACAGGTAATAACATGTAACAGTGGGGGTTTATAGGCGCTACTAGCTGACCCGATAGGTCTAGATCTTTTAGCTGATTCAGTAGGAGCGTCGGATTGTGAGCTGGCGCCCGGGGGCCGTGGGTTCAAACTCCGGCCCCGGACCAGGAGGGTTTTTATCTGTTTCTACTGTCTCCTGTTTCGTACAGGAGGACATTTTTGTCGTGGATTTGTTGGACAAAAATCCCGAGGAAGTGGGAAGAAGTAACGTTAGACATAAAAGTCGAATCCGTGGGTGGTGACGTGGTAAAGCTTGTTGTGTTTATTTAGCGCTAGAAGTGGCCGGATCTGTGCTGCTTTGTAATCTACAGCTTCAAGCAGATGTGGGGGTGAAGATTTCAGGTCCACCAAGAAAGTTATGTTTTCTATAGCGTTTGTGTGTGTGTGTGTGTTTGTGGGTGGAGCATATGATCAACCGATATAATCCATGTTGGAAATGAAATATGGATCTTATTTTCATAATCAATGAGAAAAATGTAACACGTTATATTTGCAGAGCTGCCACGTACACAAGTTCACCTGACATGGCTGAATGTGGTAACTACTAACCTTAATGGGAGGTGTCCTAATTCCGACCTAAGGTTCCATGCAAATGCACATACATGTACCTTTGGAAGTAGTTTATCTGACCAAAAACCTGTGCAACATGAGCTATAATACTGACAGATAAAGATCACAACGATTAAGACCTCGTTCATGATTAAAATGTGTTCCGGTCTGGCCACAATCCAAATCGAAACGGAATATATTTTGCGTCGGTGTAGTATTGACCATATGCTTGTGTGTTGTAGTGTGTGGGTGTCGACTGACCATGATGAGATAGCCGCCGTGTCGCGTGAGTTCGGAGCACAGGTGCACAGACGGAGCCCGGAGGTCTCCCGTGATGCGTCCACTTCCCTGGAGACAATACAGGAGTTCATCAGGGAACATCCAGGTCTGAGAACAGGGACTTATCTTTCTGGGTAGTCCAATTAACAGGGGTGCCAGAGTATACAGTGCAATTTTACGGGATACAGTAAAATTGCACTGTATTCCGTAAAATTGCACTGTATACTAATACAATTGCATTGTAATACAATTTGTATTCCGTAAAATGGCACTGTACTCGAGTATGCTAGTAAAATTGCACTGTATTCTGTAAAATTGCACTGTATACTCTGGTACCCCAGATTAGGGAGGAAAATGAAACGAAAGTAGTGAAAATATATCACACTCACAGTTGTGATTTTTATTTTTTTGGTTGTCTATGTGTGTCTATGTGTGTGTGTGGCTACATTTATTTCTACAAGTACAATACCCATTATAATATATAAATTTGTTACTTGTTCTAATATAATATATGTAGTATAGCATTGTCATCCATCCTGGGTACTGCTATTGAATTATTTTGTGTGTGGGACCAGAAGGGTGGCAAGAGGTTGAAGTTTTCCTTTGTGTGTTCCCGCAGAGGTGGACATCTTTGGTAACGTCCAGGCCACGGCACCGTGTGTCCACCCTTTCCACCTGCGGAAGGCCATGAAGGCGATGACTGAGGACGGGTTTGACTCCCTGTTTGCAGTGGTGAGAAGGCATGCTTTCAGATGGAAGGAAGTCAAAGAAGGTAAGATACCACTCTGTATCTGTATCCGTCCTTCGGCGTAACACACCTGCTTCGCAGGCACCCAGCGGGTGCACAGTTTGCACTTTCCTCTGTTTTAAGTCAACATTAATGATTTTTGTGTTAGGAAATTTTTTATGGTTTTAAAACTGTGTGACCAGAGACATTTATGTTACAGGGCTCGAAATTCATTTTTGGGAATTATATACTATAGGTGCACAGGTGCACCCAACCTAAATGATTAGGTACACAAAAAAATTTTGGGGTGCACCATATAAAACAAAACCTGATTACAGATCTTACTGCTGCTTTTCTTAAAAGCTTGAATCTGAAATGGGAGCTAACTTCAAAATCTTAAACAAGTACTACAAAATGATTTTATTATTTTATCGGACACTTAGGCCACACCAATTTAATTTCTTGGTTAACGGAATCGCCCACTTCATTTTTTTCTGATTTGCAAATAAAAATAAAAATTCAGAATCAACTGCAAAATGCTCATATTTTGCCCTGAACAGTTGAAAACAGTCCTTTTATTCCTAGTTGTTAGTTATTCCATCTTTCAATGCAATGGTATCATTAAAAGTTCAAAATTCATTGTTTAAATTTTGAACCAGCCTGGTGTGTTGACTCCATGGGTCCTATCATACCATTTTGGCCCATAATAGGATGCCTAGGCCTGTTTTTATTTTGATTTTTTTATCGCCCGCCCGCTCCATTATTTTTCTAGAAAAATCTGTTATCCAGGGAATTAAATTGGTGTGGCCTTAGATGCCAAGAATATCCTGTATACTATATTTATACATTTAATACTGTATTTAATTTAATAATGTATGTACAAAAATACCTACAAAAAATGGGTGCACCCACAGAAAAAAAAAATTGGGTGCACATGTCCAATTTTGGGTGCAGTAAGGTGCACATGCACCCAGTATTTCCAGCCCTCAGTAAGAGAATTTCTGTAGTGTGAGAGTTTCTGTATTGTGAATCCCTGTTGATTTGAGACCTGATTGATTTTACAGGGGAGGTGACAGAACCCTTGAACTTGAACCCTGCTAAGAGACCTCGCAGACAGGACTGGGACGGTGAACTTATCGAGAACGGATCCTTCTACTTCTCTACTAAAGACCTGGTGCAGAAAGGCTTACTACAGGTCTGTCATCTGTGTCATGGCAGCTGGAAACGCTGTAAAATAATTAATCTCCAAGCAGATCTTTCGGTTGGGTGGCAAAAGACCGTATCCATCGGCCATCCTGTATCCATTGGCCGTCCTGTATCCATTTTCCAACCGAAGGCAATTTTGGTGGCTAACGGACACTCCTCTGGCCGAAAGATCTGCTTGGAGATTATAAAATTATGTCATGCTTACAAAAAAAACCCACAGACACACTGCAGGAAGTTGAAAAAAGACATGTGATATTCACCAGCATTTGTAACATCAAGTATAGTAAATCTTCACAAAATCAATTCTGTAAATTGTGAAACCTTCGCAGTGGTTTTATTTTGCAGTAGGATGGAAAGGAAGGTTTTCAGTGTTTTAGATTGTAGTTAAAACAATTCTGTAGGACAGTAGTCATACCAGAAAAACATATCCACAGTGTCATGAATTTGCAGTGGAGAGGTCACCATAAAAACCGCAAAAATAAAAGGAAAATGGCAGAAGTTTCATGATTTTACAGTACATGTATGTTTTTAAGATACATGTAGCTTGTTTTTGCCTTTTCTCACTGTATTCTCCTTACACCTGTGATAAGTTGCTTACATTTCAGCAATTTTGATTTTCTCCATTCTAAGTACTAGTACTGTAGGTCTTACACATTTTTAGTGAATTTACAGTAAGTGCAAGTCTGAAGTCAAGTCTGTACTATCTGCACTTCTAAGGCCACACCAATTTAATTTCATGGTTAACGGATTAACAGGCCTAGGCATCCTATTATGGCCCAAAATGGTACGATAGGAGCCATGAAGTCAACACACCAGGCTGGTTCAAAATTTAAACAATGAATTTTGAACTTTTAATGATACCATTGCATTGAAAGATGGAATAACTAACAACTAGGAATAAAAGGACTGTTTTCAACTGTTCAGGGCAAAATATGAGCATTTTGCAGTTGATTCTGAATTTTTATTTTTATTTGCAAATCAGAAAAAAATGAAGCGGGCAAATACGTTAACCAAGAAATTAAATTGGTGTGGCCTGAGTGTAAACATAACACTCAACATTCTCCCAAGTTTACTCAGTCCTGTGCGTGTTGTTTGTTGTGTGTGCAGGGTGGGAGGGTAGGCTATCTGGAGATGGCAGCTGAGTACAGTGTGGACATCGACATCGACATTGATTGGCCAATCGCGGAGCAGCGAGTCCTGCGGTTTGGCTACTTTGGTAAAGAAAAGAGGCAGGCAAGTATAAGAATTTCCTAACTACAGATCACAAAAGGCCAGACACAGGAAGATAGGTCCCAGATAGGGCCTGCAGTCTGTTGAGCATTGGTCACAACCCGCCGTACGTGCATCTACGTACAACACACCTACCACTTGCGCAACGCACAATGCATGCAACCGCTCATTGCCAGACATGGCGTGCAGACCACAGTCTTACACCTTGCGCAACCGTGCGTTAACGCCACTCCTTCCCCACGTTTTCAGAAAAACGTAGCAGACGTTACTCTCCAAGCAGAGGTTTGGGTTTCGGGGGTATTTTAGTGTGTTTTTAGGCTTTTTTGGGGGGGGTTCTCATTTGCACTGAATTTTTTTTCCCACCTAACCCAACCTCTGCCGGCACTCACCCCGGGGCGGGGCAGACCTACATGTATTAAAAGCTATTCAAAACAGGTGATAGTGCCCCTCCCCGGGAACCATCAAACTGTCATTAGGGATATCCATTTTATTGTGGTGGATTATCACACATCTAGCCAGTCAGAAAGACATTCATTGGGCCACACGCCTCCTGCTGATCGTGCCTATTCATGTGTCTGGTTTACACCTCCTTGCAGAACGACTGAAATGTGTTGAAGTGATTAGGTTTATAGCCCATTGAAGCTTTCGACTGCCTGCAGAGGTTGGGTTTGGTGGGAAAAAAATTCAGTGCAAATAAGAAACCCCCCCAAAAAAGCCTAAAAACACACTAAAATACCCCCGAAACCCAAACCTCTGCTTGGAGAGTAGCAGAACAGGAGCTGTTATATAGAACAGGAGCTTTAAGTGTTGTCTGTCCTTGGGGCTGCCCTTCCCTGTTGAGGGTGAGGTTGCATAGTTTCCCTATTACTTATTTGTAGCTGCATGTAACTTACTGCATTTAGCCCCAATGGGGCATGATGAATATGCAATAAATAAGCTTCTTTGTCGTTAACTTTGGTGCAGGCACCATGTCTGATGGTGGTGAGTGCTGAAGGTGCGCTGACCGAGGCTCAGGTCCATCTCTCACCAACTGGCGAGGAATTCCGCTCCTTCAACGTCCACGACATCAACGGTATGAGACAGCTGGCCAGTCGGGGTGTGGAGGTAAGGTGTAGTCCATAATGGGACTGAGAGGCCAGGTAATGTCCATAAACCATGTCATGGCTATAAGTACTGAAGCTTGGAGGAATTTATTTTAGGTGTAGGAAAAAAATGTGTTTCCTGTTTCAGTCCTGGAAAAATCATGGTCAATAGGGAGGAATGCTTTTTTTTGCTTTGCTTTTTTTTTTACTTGACTAGTTTAACAAAGTAAAACTTACATGTGGATCGAGGACACTTTTTTCAGTTCAATGTTTGTAAACTGATTGTATCACTCAGGTGTCAGATCATGGAGCTGCAATGTAGAAAGGTCAATCAGCTCAAAAAAATTTGTCCCTTGCAGGGGTCCACCCAAAAGAAGGCTAGGGTCGGTCAAGAAACACAACATTTTTTTCCTAGGCCTTACTTCCAATGCTCAAAGAAACAAACTTTTATAGTACTCGGGACAGGCCTTCCTGTGTTTTTGCAATGGTGTGCATAGTGTCCTGGATATTTATGTTTACCGAAGGAAAACATAATTGTTTTTGCTCAGTTTCCTCTTCCAATTACCTGATTTGTTGACATCTGTCACCATGGTAACTGGTGTTGGGTTACATAATGTTGCAATCTTATAGTAGGAGGGATTTAGTCTCCTGTCTGACCATATATATGAATGTATTTGAGTAAGAATTAACAGAGCTGACCATGTGCGAAGGTAAACATTATGCATTTGCTTTGGAAATGTTACCTTTCTAGTTGAATGTCTTTTTCATAATTGATTTTTTTCGTTCAAAATGCAAGAAAAGGTGCACGTGTCCCGGCGAATCCAAGAAGCAACAAATAAAATTGTTGTGGCCTGATAATTATAACTGTCACCTGTTTTAGGTGAGAATCATCTCAGAAGATGAGAGTGAGGTTCACCGTCAACTGGCAGCCAAGATTGGCTGTAAGCTAGAGGAAGGCTGCATGGTGGGTGGACATGGTTGTTGTTATTTGTTGTGATTTGGATTTGAAGGAAACTTTGTGACTGTTGACAGTTACAGTGGACTTCTATTTCTAAATACAATGTGTATGTAATACATGTTACATCTGATCCTTATGTTGTAATCACTGGATTTGAGTACATGGTTAATGTTGATGTTTAATTTGGGCCTCAGACGTGTGTCAAGCAAAGAAGTTCAATCCCCAAGGTTGGACCAACATATCCAGACATGCACCCAGACGTTGTGCCCTTGGGAAAGGCACTTAACACGTATTTCCCCTCTCAGTTAGATCTGGGCTCTACTAAGGTTTGGGTTGGTGTTAGGAAGGGCATCCAGCCGTAAAAATCTTGCTCTAAAAGAAGACTTGCATTTGATGCAAGCACGTCTAACCCCCGTTTTGGGGGAAAATGACGTTAAAATTGGATTAAAAAAAAAGAGTGCTTAACAGTGTCCTCTCCTGGGTCTTGTATCTTATGTAATGTTGTACATGTATGACAGGACAAGCTGGCAGTTGTTGACTCCTGGAGGAAGGATCTGGGTCTGGACTGGCTACAGGTGGCATATATAGGTGGGTAGAACCTTTGCACAAACTCTCTACACGGCACTACTTCCAACCCAGGCATCTCCTAGCAGGCCGTTAGCAGGCACTCTAGTCCATGGGGGAAACCAGATTTTGTTACCAAATCAAGGGACAAAATGCGAATGCCTTCATGTGATAGTCCTTCACACAAGCTTTTCTAAAATGTATGATAACCATGTTGAATGCCCAGCTTTGACCTTGCCATTATTTGCCACTCCCCTTTGCATTAAAAGTAGAAAAGGACATAGTTTGTATGGGGTCAAAGTTCAAGGTCAGATAACAAGGTCAAAGCTGCCACGCTGCAACGGTTATCATGCATAATGATTAACTAGAGGACCCAACCTTTCTAAAAAGTTATCCTTTGTCCCTCTGTTTGGTAACAAATTGTCATTTTTGAGGATCTGGCCCATGGACTACTCATCATGTTTGAGGGGTTTGCCCTGCTCTGGTAGTCTTCATTCTCTTCCTGAAGAATGTACATTTAACTAAAATGTTAAACCCCTTGTCCTGCTGGCATTTTTTATACATTATAAATTTTTCAAATTTGATTTAAATTCCTTATCAGGTCAAATACCATTGATTTCTTTTGTGCTGCTATGGCGTATATGTACTATGTAGTTCCTTCCTCATTCAATGCACCTGGTTGCGGTACCCCACATTTATGGCAGAAATACTCGTACCATACCGTAAAGTACGGCCCGGTCCGGATCACCCGTATCAAAGTTAACGTTATTGCGGCGCAGGTATGACATAATAGTACGTACAACTCATATGCATTGTATATGGGGCCAGCAGGACAAGGGTTTTACAATAGATCTTGCTGGTTAGTTACAAGCAGATGTGTTTGTTCCCCAGGGAGTGATGCCAGTGACTCGGAGTGTATCAAGAAGGCAGGGGTGAACGGCTGTCCAATGGATGCTCAGCATCCTGCCAAGAACTACTCACGATTCGTCTCCAAGCGGCGCGGTGGTCAGGGGGCCATCCGAGAGTTCTGTCAGCATGTGGAAATTACCATTGAGAAAGCAAATAATGAAAATAAGCCAAGACCAGAATAGACGACGTTCTCTCAAAGGCATCCAGTGCAGTTTTTAGGGCTTGGAAACCTGATTTTTCAAAGTCAATATTCTAGTCACTTATCTACATACTGAGTTGAAACCACCCTATCCCAATGTATATTGACCATCATGGAACAAATTCCCAAACTTCTGACAAAAAATTGTTACTGGAAGGGCCCTGGGCTGATATTTTAGGGTACCTCCCCTAAAATAAAGGACTCACATTGGGGCTTGTTTCTGCAGTTTTATATTCCCAAAGTATGAAATACTGGTTGAAATGTGCTAATGTGAAGCAGTATTTTGTGTCAATATCATAAATATTTCCAGTTTTGCTGAAATTGCATTGGATGCCTATAAATTTGTAGCTAGCCTTAACAAAAAGAAAGGTAGTGTTCTTCTCAAGTTGATTGTGAAGTTCCCAGTAAATGTTGCTAGTCACCATTTGCAATTGAACACTGCTGTATGAAAAGAAAACTTAAGGTAGTGTTCTTCTCAAATTGATTCTGCAGTTCCCAGTAAATGTTCTTGTAACTCTCATGTTTCAGCTTGAAATACCACCTGTATTATGAACTACTAGACTAGTGTGGGTAAAATTGAACAGTGCTAATGTCTTACCAAATGACCTATGCCTTAGCACTAGTCCATGTATTGGGTTCATAAGTCTACACATTACTACCTGTAAGATGCATAAGAAAGAATTGAAAAATGATTGCACTACTACATGTAGTGTAGTGCAGATTCTGTACAGATGACAAGACCTACAATGGTGCAAAGTCCACATTTCATAATTGGACTAAAGGGGAAAGAATTTGAGTATTGAAGGAAGAATCTGTCTAGTGCAGGTAGTTTTGACTATTACTATTTTGACAGTACTGGTATATAGAAAAATGTATAAATTTGTGAATTTACTTCATGATTATACATTGTCTTTTTATCTGTCTTTTACTTGTTATACCACAAATGGTGGTAATAGAACTGAGAAATTATTGACATAACCTTGTCAGCAAAGGTGAAGAGCCTAATATTTCCCATCACACAGGTACATGTAATATGGCCAAAGAGGAGATATCAGGTACTAATACTACATGATACCACATGTAGTATGATAAGATGTGGACTGATGAATCCAGTTGTTTCTGTATGTGTGTACAATTGTTACCTTAAGTTAGATCCTCCCGCAACTACTGTTGCATCGGTCAACTTAGTCTAGTTCTGACAGAACTTCTCCAGGTACTTTTGTGTTAGGCCGCAATAGACATGGCTTCTAGTGTATCAAACCCCAATGGAGCCTAGTATACTTCTCTCCAAGATTTGATTTGTTATGATGATACAGATTTAACTGTTTTATCTTCTACAACTTTGTGTTTTAGCAGTAAGCATTGGAGATTAAATATAACCCTGTCTGTATTTCTGAGATTGACCTAAGACTAATATGTGTCATTAAAGCCTTGTGTCATACAAGTGCTATCAATTTATTACTTGTGAATACAGTAATTGGTCAAATAATGGTTATATCTATACTATGTACCATCTTTAGAAATGGTTGTTAGAGATATCAAGTTTTACAATTTGTGCCATTATATGAATATACAAATGTAATTGACACCGATAGTATTGTTGTTTAGGACATTGTTTTTGTGTAGTGCATGTAGTTGATATGTTGTATTCAAATTTTGCAAATTTCAAACAGACTGAATGTCTAGTATGGTTCAGAATTGCTTTTTATCTTTTTAGTCTGTAAATTTTGGTTCAATGCTTCCTTTTACTGCACCATGTTAGATTGTTTCCACATGTTTTCATTTTCTAGCGATTTCCACTATGTACATGTCTAGAAAATGCCAAATATTATGGATGGAAACAGTTAAAATCTATTCTACAATGAAAGTATACAGATATATTCTACAATACAAGTATAAATTATAACGTTACTTCTTGTATCTGCTACTACAATGTAAAATGTATTTCAAAACCAACCACCAATTATGCAATTAATATTGTACAACTTAAAATCTCTTGCTCAATAAATTCTTTCATTCATGTACATGTACATAAGAGACATTGTATATTGATATTTAGTGCTTGCAGAATGCACCACATGTAACACTGTCATAATTCCACCAGGCACCAAGACCTACTCTCCAAGCAGAGGTAATGTTGGGGAACGATTGTTAGCTTTTTACAAATGTATTATGTGGTCGTTTTTTTAGTCTCTACCCCCACCACCCGTCGGCCTTCTCTGGCTAGTGGATACTGCCTGGCCAATTTGATACTGTCTTTTTAAAAATTGCCATCGAAAGGGATCTGCTTGGAGAATACCAAGACCAGCATATTAGGGAAATGGTGAATTTAAAGAGATGTACATGTAATTACACTGTACATGCTAGCGACATGGTAGCCAGCGACATTAGGAAGCCTTAGTGATACACATCTTCCATGTCATTGTCATGCATTTATATGTTACAAGGGTCTATACACTTTGTTAGTCATCATTTACAATTGAACACTGTGGCTGTATGAGGGCTAAACATTTTCTTACCAAGTTATGGCTTTTTTTGGCATTTGTGGGTGGGAGAAGAAAAACTTTACACGGATCTGTACACTAAAATTTTGGTATGTGGATTGGTGTAGGCAAATTGAAGGGCAAGGTCGATTATGGACCTCCTGTCAGCTGTCTATGGTATTGCAGCAGAACGTCAGTTTTTCACATCTCATGTACTGGAAATGCTTTGACTTTACTCAGGAGTAGGTTCAGTTCAGGCTATGGTTGTGATCTTTCAATGGACGACAGTTCTTGCACTCAAAAAGGTTGTACAATATAGGTTGGGCTAACTTATACATGTAGCTTTTTTGGAACTGCATGGGTCATTTTCTCACAAGTGAGGGTTGAAATATTGCCATGACTTTTGGCATGTAAGTAGTTTAACATGGTACACAGGCCTGTTCAGTTCCTGTCATCTGTCCTTTGGCTTGGTTTGTCTTTCTCTGGGAGTCTTTGTACAAGTACCATGTATTGGTCAGATTGAAAATTCACATTACTTAGTTGTAAAATGTATATACTGTATATGGAGCCTGATATATGAGTGTATTAATTATAAACAAGACAATGATCTTGTTGAACACAACTTTATTGTCACAAGCATGTAGAACACAGCTGCAATTCACATTCTGTCATTCATCTTAATTGAAAAGTAACTGATAAATGTGGAAATTCAATAACAGTATGGACTCTTATCTGGTACCTATACAATCATGTAGTTTTAAGGTAAAAGAACTTCTAACACATTTGGGATGTACAGTGCAGTAATACAGGTTTTAGCACTCTTTTTTGTTTACTTCACACTTTATATATATGGTACATTGGAGCAAATAAGATCAAGCCTACTTTAATTCTTTTGTATTTTCCCACTGGTTATGGATATCCTGTTACTGTATGAAGCAGCATCACTGCACCAGATAACACACTGAAATTGAAAAGCTAGTATTCTGTATGCTTGCTCTCCTGCTCATCTGATGCAGCCTTGACACATTTGGCCATGGTCTGGGAGGCTCGACTGATAGAATCTGTCATAAAGAAGTCCTTAAGTTCCTGCAGAGTTGGCTGCAGTGGTGATGCGCTGATTTTCCCCTCCACTAGACCTGACAGTTCTTGTGCCTGCTTGAAGTAGTTGGCATCTTCGACGTCTCCGTACCGCACCAGGTTTGGCGAAACTTCCCGCAGCCTTCCTCGGACTTCGTCGAGCGTGTCGTACGGCAGCGTGAGCCCGGCCAGCTCCGACAGCGCCCGCAGGACCTTCCAGTCTTCCCGTGCCATCCCGGGCGGGTTGACGGCCGATCTGGTCTGCTGGGCGCGGCCCTCCGTGTTGACGTACGTGGCCGTCTTCTCCGTGTACGCCGCCGCTGGCAAGACCACGTCGGCCATAGGTGCTCCCACGTCGCCGTGGTGACCCTGGTAAACAACGAAGCAGTCTTTGGGAAGATCTTCACGTGTAACAGCGCCACCGTCAGCCCCCAGCAGGAACAGCACCTTGGGCGGGTTCTCTCGGATGGCGTCCACCCCCGCCTTGTAACCAAGATCCAGTGCTGCCACCTGGCTGGCCACCCTGTGCAGCACGTTCAGAACTCGCCATTCCCCGTCTGCCTGGCTGGTCGTACGCAGCTTCTGTGCCAGCGCGCTGACAGCCTTGTGAACGGCCGCGCCGTCTCCCCTCTGCAGAGCCTCGCTGCCGACCACCACCATGGGACGTTTAGCGTCTGCCAGGACCTTGGAGTACGGGTGTTTCCCGTCGATGAGGTCCTGTAGAGCGCTGGGAGACTCCCCCAGATGAGCGTACTCGTACGTCAGGTTGACAGGTGCACCCAGCACAGCCACCTGGAGATCGTTGTGCAGCCAGCTTTTCCGGACGCGTGTGTTGAAGAGCGGAGCCTCGAAGCGTGGGTTTGTCCCCACCAGCAGCAGGACGTCTGCCTCCTCCACACCTGCGATGGACGTGTTGAGCAGGTAGTTGGAGCGCAGGTCAGTCCCAGCACCATTCATGGGGAAGATCTGGAGGAAACAAAACAAGAATTAACGTCCTTCTCTTTGAGCAGATTACCAAGTCAAGAACATGTTTCCTACAGAATAGAGCTGAGTATAGGCACATATAGGTTTAGAAACAATTCAATAAGTTAACATGTTCTTCTGAAGTTTGTCAATAATAACAGAAACATTGATGAACTTGACAGTTAAGGTTAGTTTTTGTTCTTGGAGAATTATCAGACAAACCTAAGATATTCTACTTTTCATCTCCATGTAAGTGGAAATAAACTTCACAAGGTGACAAAGAGGGAGCAAAACTAATTAAAAACGCAACAGATTTTCAGGGTAGTTACATGTAGCACTGTCAGTCAGTAACGCAAACACAAGCACACTTTCCTGTCTCTGGAACCAATGGGGGACCAGCTATATTTAGGCATTTTAGGCCACAAATACTACATGTGTATATAATAATCAATGTAACTTTATACAGGTATGAAACCGGTACTTTGGGCCTGTACCTAATTAGTTTTTGCAGTACAGTTGTAAATGTACCAATACACAGCAGCCCTACACAGTGAAGATCGGAGGCAAGATGGACAAGTCAGTGTGCAAAATTCCTGGTTGCCCAGTTGACCCGGGCAACCAAATTTTACTTGGGACAACCTATTTATGAACCTAGGTAGCCCAGTGTGAAATGCACTGAATTTTAAGAATCCCCCCCCCCCAAATCATGCCCACTTGCACCACTGTATCCGGCAGATGCTTTTTAATTTTAGGTATTAATGGCTATTACTAGTATCTGATCAGTTTAAACTAAAGGCTGTTAGAAATATTGTCAAAGGCTTACAACATGTATGTATGTAACATAACTTAATTGAGGAAAGTAGTAACTTATAGGTGGGGCAACCTAAAATTCTGATGGGCAACCTAATTTTTGCTCAAAAATGGTTCAAAAAAGTATTTTGTACACTGAAAAGATGAGACCTACCTCCTCTGTACAGAGTGCTTCACTGCCCAACCTGTTGAGTAGGTCCTTCAGGGCGATCAGGGCTTCAGCGTCCACCTGCCCCCCCACGACAGCCCCCACCTCCTCACCCCGCACACTGTGTAGCTTTCCCGCGGTCCTCAGCAGGGCGTCCTCCCACGTACACGGCCCCAGGCTCCCGCTATCGTCCTTCATCATCGGCTGGGTCAGGCGCTGCCGCTTCAGACCGTCGTACGCAAACCGCGTCTTGTCTGATATCCACTCCTCATTGATGTCCTCGTGCAGGCGAGGGAGGATCCGCATCACTTCACCAGACCTGGGGGGAAACAAGGAATGTGTGAGAGGAAAAATCTTACTTCTTAGTGCACAGAGGGGTTAAGCCAATTTGATTTGTTGGTTCTTGCATTTTTTCAGAAAAAAAAAATGAAGCGGCAGGGCTTTAAAAAAAGCAAATAAAAACAGACGTAGTAATTCAAACAATGAATTTCAAACTTTTAATCAAACCAATGTATTGAATCATTAAAAAATAACTGTAACAACTCTAAAGAGAAGGTACTTCCTTCAAATGTTGACTTCTTGTAGCCAATCCCACTTATCTAGTTTGGCTCACCGTATTGTTCCATTACTTATGCTAAACTTGTTAAATTGATTCATTTTTTCATTGTACTTGTTTATTACCTTAGTTTATTACTTCTTCAATATATTTCATTCAATAAACTGTAGAAATTGTAAAATCATGAAGGGGAGGACTTTAAATAAGCCATTGCAGCTTTTCTTCCTGCCCTTGCACATTTATTTCTGTTGTATCATTTTGTATAATTTTTCATTATGTATGTATGACATTTGTGCTAAATGAAAAATTAAAAAAAAATATTAAAAAAATGTTGGGGCCAGAATATGAGCATTTTGGAATTAATTCAGAAATGTTCTATTCTTTTTAAATCCTCCAAATAGTTGGGTTGAACATTTATCTGTATCTCTATAGCCGGTATAACCGCCTATCTGCATAACACACCAGCTTCGCAGGCACGCGGCACGTGGCTTGTTCTATTCTGGGCTGGTATTAGGTACTTAGTAGTTGGGACGTCCACCAGTTTATTTACTGACCTAGTACTGACTACAATGTTGCTGCCCACAGCGTCCATCACATCAATGGTTTCTGTCTTCCTGGTTTCCCACGGTCTGGCGGTGAAAGCGTACGGTTTGGACGTGAGTGCTCCCACTGGACACAGGTCAATCACGTTTCCTGACATCTCCGACTTGAACAGTTTCTCCACGTATGTACCGACCTGAGCAAAAAAAACATTCATTTATCAAATGCTGAACTTTCAAAGGCAAGCAGTGCAATTACAGGATTTTTAAGTCAATTTTCTCCTCATTTTTATCATAAATTTTATGTACATGTACATGTACTTGACTACCTCTGCAGTGTACAGAGAATCTGCCAGGTGGTGCTTGAGTACTGCATGTACTGCTCTATCTGCCTCCTGGGTTAGCTTTGTATTCTTTAGAGATGTTCCTGGCTGCCTGCACAGATAACTCTGACTCTTCCCATTTTCCAAGTGACAACTTAAAGGCATCCAATGCACTTTTAGAGTGGCAAAACATAAAACATTCTGAAATGTGTCTGACATTGATATTTACTGCTACATTTTGTACATTATAGTATATTGACTAAGAGTCCATGTGACTGACATTAGTATCCAAGAGCAAGTTGCTTTTAACTTTTTATCTTATGTTGCAAAAGTTTTGATGGACTGCAACTTAATTATGTTGCAATCCCAATTAAATCAAGTGTTGTGGATTAACCATTCCAAAAGAATGTAAAACTTCAGGAAAAAGCTTTACTTTGTTGGAAATTGTAACGATACAATACACGTGGGAAAACACAGCTGTTGCTGGTGTTGTGTCACACACATAGAGACAAATACAGGACAGGACAATGCTCATTTTCACTTGAGTTATGTGAGGAAAGTCGTGAAAGGTGCCTTTCCCAAGGGCACAAGATTGGTGGCATGTCAGGAGTCAAACCCAGGACCTCTTGGTTCCGAGTCGAGCACTCTGACGTTACGCCACACGACCCCACTCCCACTGCGACATTAGTTGACAGGGTGTTACTGAGTGACAGGCTGAATAAAAGTTCTAAACGGAAACTATGCGGCTCCAGATGTCTTACTGAGGGACGACTGCATGTGCAAGATGTCGGTAGCTTAAGGAATGAATCCCCTCTACTATATACAGGGTGTTACTGAGTTACCTACCTGCATGTCCCCACCACGCCCTGTTGTGCCCAGGTCATCCACACCTGCTATCTCACTGGCAAACCTGTTATACAGGACAAAACACACATTTTTAATACTGATGCTTTTACAGTGTAACACACTAATACATTGCTACTCAAGACTACTATATATAATAAGTTCCTATGATTTCAGTGTGCAAAATACCTGGTTGCCCGGTTGCCCCGGGCAACCAAATTTTATTTGGGGCAACCTATTTTTGAACCAGTGTGCTACCTGAATCTTAAGAATGCCCCCCCCCCAAAAAAAATATCATGCCCACTTGGCTTGCAACACTGTAGCCAGCAAATGCTTTTTAATTTTAGGTATGAATGTCTATTAGTAGTATCATCAGTTAACTAAAGGGCCTGTTAGAAATATTGTCAAAGGCTTATGTGAGGAAAGTAGTAACTTGCAGGTGGGGCAACCTAAAATTCTGATGGGCAACCTAATTTTTGCCATAGGTTGCCCACTGGACAACCTGGTTCAAAAAGGTATTTGCATTTGTGCTAGTCTTTAAATTTTTTTTGGTATGAAATGTTTGTACTTGTGAAGTTCAGTTGCAGGGAGAAGGCGACAAATGTACATACAGTGGAAAAGATTAGTTTGAGACATGTGTTTACCTGATACACCTGGTACAGTGGATACAGCGAGTCATGATGGTTTTGACCAGAGGTCCGATGTTTTTGTCCTCGACGGCACGTTTCCCAGAGAAGGCGTTGTCGGTAAAACGACTTCTGTCACTGCCAAACGTCATGGACTGGTCCTGGAGGTCACACTCTCCTGGAAACACAACAAATTTGTTTATTTGTTGTTTTTGTAAAAAGTTTGCTCAGTGCAAGACAATAAGGCAATAAGGGCATGCCATATCCTTCATTCCAAGATCCTTAAGACTGCTCTATGCTATTGACAACTAGCTCTCTATAGTTGTATTTAGGGGCTAATTTACTCCATTGGCCACTGTGCGTACATCACATTGTTAAAACTTCTCTTACTTAATACTAGCACTGAGTTTGTTTGAGCTGACCTGTAACACACGCTCATACATGTACGTGTCTGCTGCTCTCACCAGAAACATTTTGTAAATAGGTTGCCTGATATCACTTTATACCTTTATACCTGATATGACTTTTAGAATTTTATTTTAGCAAGTATTATGAATTTTATACTTGGATTTTGAAGGTGGATCTGTAAGCAATGACGCAATTCAGGTTTATAATGTACCTGCTATGTCATTGGTAATAAAATCTGAATCTGAAAAAACAAGGGCCACTGAACAAACTCTCACTGCAGCAGAATCTCTTCTCCCTAAGGCAGAAACATCAAGCTAAGGCCACACCAATTTAATTTCTTGGTTAACGGATTTGCCCACTTCATTTTTTTCTGATTTGCAAAAAAAATTCAGAATCAACTGCAAAATTCTCATATTTTGCCCTAACCTGAACAGTTGAAGCAGTCCTTTTCTTCCTAGTTGTTAGTTATTCCATCTTTCAATGCAGTGGTATCATTAAAAGTTCAAAATTCATTGTCTAGATTTTGAACCAGCCTGGTGTGTTGACTTCATGGCTCCTATCATACAATTTTGGGCCATAATAGGATGCCTAGGCCTGTTTTTATTTTTATTTTTTTTCCGCCCGCTCCATTATTTTTCTACAAGAATCTGTTAACCAAGAAATTAAATTGGTGTGGCCTAAGACCAGCTTGACTAACTGACTCAAGGGGCTAGGAAGGCTGCTCAGGAAATTCCCTACCCCATTGCAGGCCTGAATGGTTTGATCCACTCACACTGAAAAGAACAGTTCCCTATATATACGTACACTTTTTTTATACTTTTGATGGAAAATACAATTTACAAATACAATTTACAAAAACAAACAGATCATCTAACCAAAAATCAATGAAATCTGTCAAGTCTGAGTTACAGAGCTCTGTGAACACACAGGCAGGACCTAAAACAGTACCTTCCAGATTTCTCGGGTCCTTAGACTTACTTAAAACTCTCCTTTACTCAGACTCATTGTTTTGAAATATGGCAGAAAACAGGAGAAAACAGGACTACATTAAGCCCTGTCCTGCTTATCAATAGTTGAGATAGTATAAGAAGTTACTCATATATAGTCATAGTAATAAAATAATAATATGATATTTTATTGATGGAATGTACTTTCAAGAAGAAATCTACACTCTCTACTTCTAAGTAAATATTGTCTCTCTCACCTCCCTGGTCACAAATGGGACAGTCCAACGGATGATTGACCAATAGGAACTCCATGACTCCTTCCCGTGCCTTCTTGGTCATGTCCGAGTCCGTTTTGATCTTCCAGCCCTTCATGACGGGCATGGCACAGGCTGCTACCGGCTTGGGTGAGCGCTCCACCTCAACCAGACACATCCGGCAGTTACCTGGGACAACAAGAACCAAGGGGCATTGGACACTAGTGCTGCATACCTAAACCCACATTTAGATTCAGGTCCGGATCCAAGTCCAGAGGTTTAGGTTCAGTTCCAGACTTGTAAGTCTGGACCTAAACCCATGGCATATACAAAATTGCATGTTGGCAACCTTGCAATGTTGTCTGGGTGAAACTTTGGCCACATAACATGGAGGCCGGTACTTGACGATGCCTGATGGCAATGTTTTCTTCATTTTGAAAGCATTTCTTAGATGTTTTCATTTTGAGAAAAACAGAAGCGCTAGCAGCCAATGGAAGAAGCAACAAATAGATTTGTGTGGCCTTACTCTCATCTGCCGAATAAACATACCCCCCGGAATAAACGTACCCCCCGGACAAATCTTCAAAATCAAATAAACATACCCCCGGAATAAACGTACCCCCCGGAAAATTACCAACATTGACGGGTAACCTGTGTCTCTTGTACTAAAATGCGCCCTTACTGATATATGCACAAATCTTTTTTATTTGCTATTAGGAATTTAAATAGACAAAAAAAAGAGCATTTAATATTTCGTATTTTGATAAGCACCACCCATGACAATAGAACATTCAGACGAATTTATGCACGCGGTGATTGCAAAAGCCGGCCCGAAAATGACAAGTTTCTCGCTACAATACGCGTTTATAAACGTCTTCACGTCGATGATTTGTCAATTTTTTTCACACGAAGTTGAAAAAAATTACTGGTTTTCAAAAAATTAATAAACATACTGTGCAAAATAAGAACGTACTGGGTGGATGTTCGGGCCCAAAAAAATAAACGTACCCGTATGTTTATTCGGCAGATGAGAGTATGTCAGGCCTAGGGAAAAAAATGTTGTGATTCCTGTTTCTTTCAGTCCTGAAAAAATTAAGGTCTGTAGGTTGGGATAATCTTTTTTTTTTTTTGTTCTTAAACTTGGATAGTGGGTGTGAGTGAGACTTTGACAATCTCTAGTGACAATCTCTTATATTTTGGATGTTAATGTTGAAAAACCATTTCATCACACTCAGGTTTCTAATCATGGAGCTACATGTAGAAAAGGCTCAAAAAATTTATGTCCCTTAAGCTTGCAGGCATTCGCACAAAAACAAAGGCTAGGGTTGGCAGTTTTTTCCAGGGTTAGTCGGGAAACAGGAAACACAACATTTTTTCCTGTGCCCGACATCAATCTAGCTGTGAAACATCAGGCACCAGAACAGACCTGCGATGGACAGCCTGTCGTGGTAACAGAAGCGGGGGATCTCCACGCCCACCATGGCGGCCGCCTGCAGCACCGTCGTACCGGGGTCCACAAGTACGCGCTTGTCATCAACAAACACCTGCAACACGAACAAGGTCACGGTCACAATACAACAACAATTGACTTTACAAACTAAGATACTGCTCCTCGGTTTTACTGTGTGTTAACCTTATTAGCCTGCCACAGCATACCTCACCTCACCTCACCGGTCCCATAGCAGTCTGTCCTGCCGTCAGGGCAACTAAACTGTCCACAAGAGTTATCCACCCAGGGCGGTTCACCCACAGCATACAGGAGTTTATATTTTAAGAATAAGACGAAACACAAACAATGCAAGTAACGTTCCATGTATTTGATTGCCAATTACTGAACAGCAAATGATACATAGAGATAAAGACTTGAGCTGAATGCCCATGTTAACTGATATCACTGGCTGAGAGACATGACTCTTGACTTTGCATGTGATGATAGTCAGTCTCGCCAAGTTTCCCTTTATATATACAAACAGTTGAAACTTCAGAGATACGCAGTGAAAGCATGATTAATATATCAGTATTTTCTAGATGCAACATTGCACATTCAAAAAATTTTTAGGTGCAAATCTGGAAAACATTTTTCCACATTGCACCTCGGTATTTCGAGCCCTGTACAAGTACACAAAAAAATTGTGATTTACACTAAGTTACAGTATTTTTAAAATTTAAGGACATTATTTTAATTCATGCACATATTTTTCACGTGTATAGCCAGTCTTTTGAAGCAGCATTAACAAATTATAGATGCTCTTTTATAAGTTAATATAACATCAGTCAGCCTGCATATATATGGGAGTTCCCAACAACACTTTCTCGCAGGTGGCATGGCCTACAATTTAATATAATATTTCTCACCTTATAGTGAAATTTTTGTCCATGGTACTAGTCTTGCTCTGAAGTCCAACCCGAATCAGGGTTACGAAGCTATCTTTGTTCTCTGAACGTAGGTACAAGAGAAGCACTTTTTTTCACATGGCAATCACTCACTCACCCCCCTCCCCCCATAGTATATACGTACCTAACTTCCAGAAGGTCTCATACCGGAATTACTCCGCACGTGTAGGGTCTAAAAGAGTCCCGACAAAAAAATGATTGTGCCTGAACAGCGTGAGTTTAGGTCCACCATAAAATCCCTTTCATCACTCAGACCTGATCTAAAAAGGATTTGAGGTGAAAGCCTGTTTATTACTGACAGGATCAGGCAGGGAAGTTTCGGCGTCCGAGCGATTGTCGGACGTATACGCTTATTTTGACCTGAGTACTGCGGTCGGGCACAGTGAGCCAAAAGAGGGCCTCTTCCGGGTCATGGGTAATTGCAGTTATACATGACGTAAATATCGAACTAGCGGTTAGAATTGGGGAAAAAATTTTTTATCGTTTACATGATACGTGTGCTTGGTATAGACAGCAAAAAATCTGTTGATATACGATTTTTTGATTGGATTGACAGCCAAAATAGTGGCCTATTTTAACATGTAAGTCTACGGGACGGCGAAATTGGCGTATGAGACCTTAATAGAAATTAAAAATATTCACCAAAAATCAACGATTAGTGCTAAGGTCCCAATTTTTGAACAATGTTTGCCCAGGATTTAATGTCCGATTTTTCAGCGTAAGTTGCATTTCGTAACCACGCCCGTTGCCATGGCAACGGACGAGGCCATTTCTGCGGGGGTTGATTGA